AATTTAAATCAATTGCTATAGATTTGTTTTCAATTACTGTATACTGTATAAGTTAAAAGTATATCACAAAAAATAATAAAACACAAACTTCATTTTATTTGAAAAATATATTAGTTTTTATTGTATTGACAAAACACACTATAGTTTAACATTCATTTAGGTATCAGTTTTACTTTAATGGCAGGATGATTTAGATTTAATTTATTGTTATAACAATGATAATAAATAAATAATAAAAATTTCTTACGAATGTGTTAAAATGCTTAAATTCAATTGTGGTATTTGACAAAAAGTGGTTACAGTAAATGTTAGATAATTAATTTTGAGTATAAAATAATGGTCATCGAGATATACAATAATAAAACTAGTATATATATACTTAAATATAATATTAATTATAATAATACTAATTATACTTAAAAATTATAGTTGTAAAAATATATAATTAAATGATATTATGTTATTTATGTTAATGAAAATGATAATACACATAATGCCTAACTTATTACAATTAATGAGTGATACATATTTATCACTGACCAATTTTATTTAAATGTTTATACTAATTTGATAAAACTAAAAAAAAAATGTTTAGCTAATTTTATTGCTCAAAGATTTTAAAACTAAATATTATTTGTAAATGTAGATAATTAATTAATCGTATCTACTAAATATGCAGCTTATAAAAAAATAATTTTAACATACTTTAATTGAACATTATGTTTACCAAGAATTATTTAATTATTAATTATTATCTAAATAAGTACCTCATAAAATTTACTATTGTTTGATTAAAAGTTAATTATTTATTTTAATACAGATAATTGACATAATAAAAGTATACAATCATTTATAATTTTTGAATCAACTATTGTATAACAGTTGTTCACATTACAGTTAAAATGTAAAATCAAATACTAAAAACTTAAAAAAATTAAATTACAATTAAAATCTTATAAATTAAGTAATTMTTTATAAGTTATTGACATGCAAATAAGACTTATAAAATTCATTCTACAACTAATCTTTACATTTTAAAATTATAAGAATGAAACCACAAATTATATTTAATTAATATCAGTATTGTTTATTGTTAGATTTTAGTTATTGCATTTACATATTATAATATGGAATATCATTCTAGGATGTGATTGTACAAAAAATATAATATTTTGATTTATCAATATAAAAGCACTTGTCCAGAAAAAAAAAACATCTATAATATTTGTCTTTTAAAACCCTGTAGTTCATTAATTTAAATTGGAAATTGATTTTAAATACCAACATACCTACTATAAGATATATTCACATGGATTGATAAACAATCATATTTAAATAAAAATTRTATATATTATTGATAAATAGTTACATAAATTATATTTAATTTGTTCAAAATTGTTTTTATTTGATTTTGTTGGTATTTAAATTTTAAATGATGTTATATTTATTGAGTTGCAATTACACATTATCCTTTGCCTCAAACTTTTCGGTCAATTCTGATACCAGCTCCCTGAAAACTACAGGGCTGACATTTTGAGAYAATTGATAAAAGACAAACCAATCACCGATCCAAAATTTCTGRGTTAAAGTTTTTAAGTTTTCATAAGAAAAGCGATCAGTTTTTGATCTCAATAAAAATAAACGGAAACAGGGGACCATAATGACAAGTGTGCGATATACAAAGTTTAATACGCTAATTATGGCAACAAACCATAACCAAAACCATAAAAATACATATATTTTTTCGTTAAGATTGTTTTGTGACAATATACACATACCGTCMAGTTTCTGTATGGTTCCAGAAGGACCGAATTTATTGAAYGTACACTTGGTGACTAAAGGAAACACTCGAGACATTACATCATTACGATCTTCAGGATTCATTTCAATCATTTTAAACACATCTAAGCCATAGGTTCTAAATTCACCTTCAAGAAACAGGTCCATAAAATAAATCTGAAGAAATACATTGCACAAGTTAAAGATCTCGCATATGAAAAACCGAATAAAATATAAATTTTGTGAGTGTAGGTTGTGGACAAAGTAGTTTATCAACGATTGCTTGTGTTCGGATTCAAAAGAAAATGGACTGTTGAGGTCAAGGACCAATGCCTTCATGCGTCCAGCCTCCCATATTTTCCAGACATA